TAACATATGTATTTCCCCTTTTCTCCTCGGTAATTTTATAATTTTAAACTTAATAGTGATTAAATTTGGATTTTAAAATTGGCAGTTTTTAATTTTAATATCAAATTCTATCATATAATTTAATAATTATTGGTTAGAATAAATTCTTTTTTTTTAATTTTACTCGTATTTTAACGATCTGAATAGCTATTATAACATGACTTCGTTGTCAGGCATTTTGAATTTTCCTATACTTGTATTTTGATTGGTCATTCTAGCTTTTGGAACAACGTTTTTTTTTCCCCTTGTGAAAGATCGTTAACGAATTTGAAACTTTTAAAACCATTTGTTTTGCATTCAACATCATCACTTGATAAGACACTGGGAGTGTTGAAACAAAATGGCTATTTTTGTAGTGATTTTATAACATGTTTATGTTATAAATTTTCTAAATAAAAAATTATATCTGCTCTACTTTGTATTGAGCACTCTTTTAAGAATAGTAATTGTTGGTTATTGGAATTCATTCCGTATACACCAATTATATATATATATATATATATATATATATATATATATATATATATATATATATATATATAGTCGACTCTCCCGTCGAATTCGACGTATGAGGGTCAAGCAGATCAGTTTCCAGGAAACAGACAGCCCGACAACGACACATCAGATTTGATTATAGTGGTGAAGGCTTCGTGCAGGACCATCCACACTTTTTGAAGGGTCGAATACAGAGACCTGGTGCACTACGTGCCACAAGGTTCCCAAACGCAGATTTTGAATTCAGAGTTGTCCTTCTCCTAGACTAGTTGCCATCCAAGGCTATAGAACCCAGTCTGTCCTGCTATTTTACCCATAGCTGGAGGGAGAAGAAGAGGATTCATACCTTTCCCAAGGGTATTAGCAGGTAAGTGAATGTAATGGATTCGACTGGAATTCGAACTCGGCTCTGCGATATATATATATATATATATATATATATATATATATATATATATAGAGAGAGAGAGAGAGATAGTTTAAGAAGTATTTGGTAATCTGCATGGATAATCCCAAGGAGGATATAATCCAGAGAGCTCAATGTAAAACTGAGAAAATATTAGTTAAATTAAGAATCAGAGAACTTTAATGATTCATAGGATTATAGTTTATTTCCCCCAGGAACGTAACTTTCGCCTTCGTTCATCGGATCCCATTTCCAAACAGAAAAAAATGGTGTAAAAACTTACATATTATTATTATTATTCACATGTTTTTATGGAGGTAGCATTAAGTTGATATAACGATGATAGAGAGAGGGGGAAGAGGAAGACGATAGATATGTGATCGAAATTAGAAAAAGAAAGAAGAGATAGGAAGCTGTTTATATCCATCTTTATTATGATACGTATGTGTAAGGGTGAGAGGTAAGAGGCCAGACGTGTTGACCTATATAACAAGTTTTTTTTTTCACAGGAAAAAGGAAAGTAGACAAAGAAAAAAGCGAAGAAATAAAGATAAGACAGAATAGAAAACAAATAGATAAACTGGGTGGGGGGAAGAAGAAGAAATGGAAAAATAAATTATCATATGGGAATATTGCGGCGAAATTCAAGAATGCAAATTAATGGAATTTACAGTTAACACTTGACATTATATTAAAGATTATCAACAAAATAAAGATTAAAAATCACATAAAAAACAATATCAATATTGTTAATAGTTAAAGTTAAAATTTAAACATTAAAAATTTAGAAATTTCAAACAATATGGAATAATAATAATAATAATGATAATATTTTGTAAACTTATTCTAATGAAAAATCATACAAATTAAATGAAAGACTCATATATATACGTACATACATATATTCCAGAACACACATATATATATACATACATAAATAGAATGCACACATGATCATATACATATATTTACACATATGCACACATACTCACATATACATATAAATACGTATCTATACACGAACATTCACACGCATACACACATATATACATATACACATATATATATATATATCTATATACATATACACACACACACATATATATATTAATTTTAGATAAATATATATATATTAATTTTACATATATATTAAGAGTCAGCAAAATTAACAGAAATATATTTTTCAGGGGTAGGTGGCAATAATAATAATAATAATAATAATAATAACAATGAAATGAATAACGGTAATGGCCATACATACTCACATCGGCATGCACATAAACACACACACACACACACATATATATATATATATATATATATATATATATATATATATATATATATACACACATAAACAGACATATATATATATACATCTACACATACAAATATATTTACACATATATTGTTTAACATATGCAATTAAACCTAGATATATACACCAGGTGATATTTCAAGTCTTGATAATTTAAAATTCTAGAGTTTCTATGGACAAATCTCTCAAAGATTAGATGTACTTTGTTATTTTCAGTCTATGTTTGTGCCTGCATTTGAAGA